ATATATATATATACACACACACACACACACACACACACACACACACACGCACACACACACACACACACTTCCGTGGCACCGCATGACCTTGAAGCCACCAGAGGGGACTGAAACCTGTGTGTATGTCAGTTAAAACCCAGAAATGTAATTGGAGCGTGTGTGAAGGCTTTGGTTGCCATCCTCCACAATATGCCAAACACGGCACAATTTTGGCATTTCCAACAGAGCCAACACAATGTAGAGAGGCGGCCACAAGTTTCCCACATATCGGCAGCGACCAATCAAAGGAACGCTGTTTTCCGTTTCAAATTTAAGAAAACATAGACCCACTTGGAGCACAGCGTATTGACATTCTGAATATTTTTCAAAATTAATGAGAAAACAGACTGTTGAAAATCTGTTATTTCTGACCAAAAAAAATAGCTTGAAAAAGGACATCCTGCTTATTTCCAACATAAAATGATCCTGCAAACCCGATAAAAGGATCTCAACAATTCTGAATGAATTAAATATTTGGAGCTTGTAAACAACTGATTTACACATTGCCCTGATTTAGTTGGAGGTAAACTGAATTGCAGCTGAGCTTAAATTGGGAGCTACTTGGTGGGAACTGAAAAATGTGAAGGACTACCAGTTTGATACACACTTCCCGGAACGAAAGTTCATCGACGTGAATTGAACGAAGTGTATTTCTGCCTGATGAACATTTTTGTGAGCGCACTCATTCTGGCGTCTGTGAACGGTTTGTGAACGAGATTTCATTTTCTCTCAAGAGTGCCACATTTTGTTAGACTTCCAGGTGAACATATGCACCGTAGGAGGATAAGGACCTTACTTGGCAATCAAAACCATGACCCTTGTACGGCCGCCTGCATCATCAAATGTAAAGCACGATAGAAACTTGGAGGGGGAAGAAAAAAAAGGCTGTTGTGTTGATTGGTGACAGACAAATAATATAGTCACTGTTAGTCCCTTAAACTCAAGCACTGGCAGGGCGGGTTGGGGGGCGTTCTCAGGAAGTCGCAGGTGGGTTGTCTTATGGTCATCTGAAAATGAGAGGCGAGGAGCAGGGGACAACTTGGAACATGGCTTGACAGGGGGGCTTAAGAGGTGACAGCTCATTTTCTCCCCCAGCTTGGTTCCTCCCTTAGATTGTATTTGTGCTTGCAAATGAAAGACTACTGTCCTGTTTCATGTTTTAATTGCTCATTTAAAAAAATTGATTTCAAGAAACAAGTGTTTTCTCACTTGATCGTAGGGTAAAAGTTGCAGCTGTCTACTAGTGTGGATTAAAAGGGTGACAACAATGTTGAAATGCCAGCACTTTGAGGGGAATGGCTCATCGCAACTTCGGATGGGTATTGATAAGATTTAAACTACTCTGAATGACACGTGCTTATCTATCCGGTTCCTTAACAGTACTGTATTCTTATAGATACTTTTTTGTTAAAAAAAAAAAAAAAAAAAGCAAAAAGCTCACAATGCTTTTTTAAAAAACAAATTAGTCTTCCCACCAAGACATTAATGTAAAATATATTTTTTTATAAAACAATTATTTACAGAAAAAGAAATTATTTGAACAAATCCCGATGATACTTTTCAACATTATATCAACAATTAGCAGAGATGAAAGTGGACTCTTCACACACACACACACACACGCACGCACGCACGCACATGGCCGATCACGCATGAATTAGTTTACACAAAACGCTATTCAAATACTCGACATTCAATGATTAATCTTCCTTTTGTGTGCACACATGTACCCTTTGTGGCTTCCGTTCGGGCCGAAATTTCGAAATCTCCAAGATATGGCGAGGCCATGAGAATGCGAGGCGAGGGGATTACTGTTGTGGTGACTCCACTCAAGCTAAGCGAGCCTCAGCAGTAGATAGTCTGCTGCTCTCTGCTGTGCGTGCTTCAGCGCGAATATGTACGCAAGTGCGTCTATGATTTCAACCAATCAGCGCCAC